ATAACATTATCTTAAAGCTTATTAAATTCCCTTCAAAATGACCTATTATTTTCTTTTTTAATATTGCCCATAAACTTCTAGTATTTATTCAAAATGAACTTGGTATCTCCCATAATAGGGGCTTTTCCTCCATATATTTTCAACAAATTTTAAATTTACAAAGTATATTCGAAATTCTTAATATCGTCCATCTTCGGTTTATTTATAAGTTAAACACGTATGTATATGACGCATTATGACGTAAAATAATTTGACAGTTTTGATATCTTTATATTATACAAATGTATGATAAGTAAAAAAAACAAATAAGATAAAAAGTACATATATACTGTATTACATATAGTACACGCAATTAAATTAAGTAATGTAATATAATTTTTGCGGTAATTACTATGGTAAAAACGTGATACATTTTATTATGTTTAACAAATGTTCATTTTTAATAAATAATAGATAATTTATAAACACAATATATTCAACACAAAAATGCTTAAACTTGGAATTGATAAGCAAAAATGATTCCAAAACGTATATCAGATATTAGATATATTAAAACGACGTACGGCGCATTATCATGGTGTCTTCAATGTTCAACAGGATATTCTATATAAACATATTTTTTTTATCATAACGATATAACAAGTATAGAATTGTTGAATTTGCGAGTATTGAGCATATAATGAATATGCGGTCACTCGCTCCGTTACGATGGATCAATGTATATATATATATATATATATATGAGAAGTTAAAAATGATACGTTGCACGGGGAGTGACGTCATGACGAGTAAGCTCTTTGCCCGATGATCAACGCAGCATGTACTGTAATGTAGCGATGAAACACAAATGTCTAGGTCAAACGCAAATGCCAAATTCGTAATGAATTTGTCCACGTGGTAAATTAGTTCGTCAAATATTATTAAACTTACTATTATTAAATTATTATTATTAAACTTACCAGAATTCTAAATTGTATATAATTTTTATGGTTTTAAATTTTTCAAGCTATAATTAATTTATTAAAAATGTTATTTATCTGTATTATTTATATTTCTTATGCTTAATAGTCGTTTTTATGAAATTACGGTAAATATAATTAAAAGAAGTAGACTATATATTTTTTTATTGGGAGAAACATATTATAAACAAATATCGATCAGATAATAAAAAAATCCTATGATAAAAAATAATAACTATAAGGGAGAAATTAAAAATTACAAATCAAATACAATATTAATTAAAAATACGTTTTAAAAAAATATATACTCCCGATTGCTGCTAGAAGAAAGTTACAATACAGACGAAAAGAAATTAAATATTAAGAAAAATTAACATTAAAAATAATAATTATGATTAAAAAGACTTTAAAATAAAATAAAGAAATATAATTTTAAAAATTCAGAAATAAAAACTAATAAAGACAAATAACTTAAAAAATTAAAAATTTTTTAAATGAAAATTAAAGACAAAAGTTAAACTCTTTACTATATAAAAATGTTTCTTTATATAGCATAGAAATTCACACACATACATACACACATTGCTTTTAAAAGTATGAAATAAAACAAACAAAATAATTAAAATTAGATATTAAATAAAAACATTTTAAAGGCAAAAAAATTTTTAACTTCAAATAACAAAAAGATTCAAATAACATTAATCATAAAGAATTAATATAATCAAGATATTAGTAAGTATTAATTACAAAACTAAAATATAAACATAACTATCATACATCAAGGCTAAGAGTCAAACGCAAGTGATCAGGCATAGATCATGAAATAATGAAATTTACAAATATTCTGGCAAAAAATGATTCAATTCACTTTGGAATCCTCTTCAGCAACATATAAATGTAACGAAATGCTCATATATCCAAAAAGGTTATGACTTATAAATTGCCAGAGATGAAGTGATGTAAAATCTAACGATACAAGAAAATTTATTATTATAGAAGAAAGCATTAAAGAGTAACTCATCTTTGGGGATAAACAGCGTGTCAAGAAGCTTAGATACATAATTATTCACAGAATTGTAATTTGTATAAAATCGAAAGAACAGACATGAAAATCGGCAGTGTCTATATTACATCCATACGTTAGGACATGTCGCACATGTTTAAAATAATATTTAAAAAACCACGTCGTAAATATTCTTGTTAGGCATTAAAAATAAATTGCATAAGAACGTGAAACAACTTAAAATTCGTTTTATTATTATTGAACGGATTATTTAACATGAATGCATAAGCATGATGTAGTCGCTCAGTATCAGAACCTTTGTTAAGACCATTTTTTTGTATGGATATGAGAAATTTCAGAAATCAGTCTTTTCAGTGTAAGAATTTTTCTAGGTCATTTTATGAAATAAGTGTTTTAACTGAGCATTGATCGTATTAAAAACAAAATCAGCTCGACAATTATTATTTAATAAATTGCTAATAATAAGTTTAATGTTACTAAGATGGAATCTCGGATTTGAGAGTAATACAGCTTTCATAAAATGACCTCGAAACAAAAAAATAATACGAATGACAAATCTGACATTGAACAAGATGAACGTTTCATAGTTTTTGCTTTACATTTCCTCTACCGCGGAAAAATTCTCGATCATCAGTAAGAATACAAATATTAAGTTAGCCTTTTTCAATTGCAATGAACAAATTCATCAAAGTCCATAAAGACATTCTCCCTAAATATTCAAACAGAAACTTATTTTATAAAATTATGTATAACGATTGCGATTACAATGCTTCATACGTAGGATAAACAAACAGAAAACTATCCATAAAAATTTTGGAGCATCGCAATCACATTAATTGGAATACAGTCAATCGATTACGGATCATTCAATTACGGATCACCGAATTAATTACAATCATAACTTCGATTAGGAGAATGTACAAATTTTGGACATAGAAAAATTCTTACAAAAAACTGATTTCTAAAATCTCTCATATTTACATACAAAAAAATGACCTTAACAAATGTTCTAATATTGAGAGACTACATCATACTTATGCATTCATGCTAAATAATGTTTAATCCGTCCAATGATCATAAAACGAATATTGTTTTCACATTCTTATGTAATTTATTTGTAATGCTTGACAAGAATATTTACGATGTGATCTTTCGGTTATTTAAATATTATTTTAAACGAATGTGACATTAATTTTCTATAAAATATTATGCACCGACAAAATGTACGCGAATGATTTTTGTGCTCCATTCCTCGTGCGCGAACATCACCCCCAAAGCATGCGTTGTACAAGTATTTGTCTGTTGTACAACGCACGCTTTGGGATGATTTTATATCTCTATAATTTTTAGTATTTTTCTCTTTTCTTACACACGTTTTGAGATTGTTTCAAGCATGAAAGGTAGCACCGAAATTTAAACTGTGGCATATTAAAAGCACATAATAATTAGCACTAAATTATAGCGTGAGTGTTTCTTATGTATTTTTAATATTTTTAGTACTTTTCTCTTGTATGACACACGTTTTGCTATTTTCAGGCGTGAAGGGTAGCGCACCGAAATTTAAACAATAGTATATTAAAAGCATATAACTAGCGTAAGTTTTTTCATATATCTTTATTATTTTTAGTACTTTCTCTTGTGTGGTACACGTTTTGGGATTGTTTTAAGCGTGAAGGATAGCGCACCGAAGTTTAAACTTATGAGATATTAAAAGCACATAATTAGCATTAAATTGTAATGTGATTTTTTTTATTCTTATTATTAATTTTTTTAATGTGCAACTAACTTCATTAAAAGTCAGTAGAAAGATGATTTCTTGCTAAACGGCTAGAGCAACAAAATCAAGATTGAAGCAACATGCTTAAAAGTCTGTTTTAAAGATATATATATATACGAGGGCAAATCAATAAGTACCCGTGTTAATAATAAAGACGCAAGCTTTTCAAAAATTTTTTTCATTTTTCAACGTAATCCCCTTTTAGGAGGATACACTTTTCCCAACGCTTCTGCCATTTTTTTAACTCCTCAGAAAAATACGATTTGTCAAATTCTGCAAAATAGGCCTCTGTTTCGGCGATGACCTCCTCATTCGACGTGAATTTCTTTCCACCGAGCCATTTTTTCAAGT